CTTTGAATTTATATTTATTTTGCTCATTGATAATTATTGTACAAGTGAGAATCCATATACAAAAAGATTGTCAAGAACCAGGTCCTTAAAAGATCGAATCTCTTTCTCTGTAGAACTGGAGATGGTTTGAAGAAGATGTGCACTAGAAAATCTTAGATAATTGTAACCTTAATTCAGTTCAGACTGGAGATCAAGACAAGTTTTTTTCTTTTTTATAAATTATGCACATCAAATTAGGTTGAAAATAAGGAGAAAGATGAAGCGAGTCACGAAGCAAATCAAGTTAAACTAGGATTCACGTACTCCTGTAAATACAACACGTCAAAAGCCTTCAAGTTTAACCACACCCAAAGAGAAATTTCATTCGAGAGGCACCCATTACAACAAATAACACATTTCTATCATGCTTTATTTGTATTGTTCTTGAATTGTACTAGTTCGATTCTTGTTGTTCTAATTACATTTTTTCGTTGATTGAAAAAAATGTTGTTTTGTATTTGTTGAAGAGCAGAGAGCAGAGTTATGTCACGACTTATGGAATTTAGATCGCCTAATACACAATTTCTTTTTATTCCCCTCTCTCTCCACCCTACCTCATTATAAGAATAAATGGTATTTTTATTTATCCTCCAACCCACGTAATTAAATTTTTATTTATCTACTAATTAATAATGCTCAGTCATTTGAACAAGCTTGACTTATTTGAAATTGATTTTGAATTGACTATACTAAACTGGGCAAAACCACACAAAATTACTTGACTTGGGCCAATTTCTTAAATTTTCCGATTTTTTTTTCAAAATGTCAATATTTTGACATTTAATAGGATTCCTTAGCCATACTTTCAATATTTATTAAAAATGTCAATATTTTAGTTTGTTATGTATATAATTTATATATTTTTTATTTATTTGATTTGCAAGAATACAATTATTTGATAACAGAAAAGAGAAAATTAGGAAAGAGAATATTTTATAAAAGGAACATATTACTTAAAATTCTCATAAGTTAGAATTTCAAAGCACCCGTCCCCCTTTTTCATAAGATTTCAAAAATCAATTTTTAACATTCCATTGATAATATTCAATCTCTGAAGTGAATTCGATTCAATTGCGGGTTTTTTTTATTGGGAAGAAAAATTTGAATGAAACAATTAAAATTTCGTTGACAAACAACTTGGGAGGAAGAATTCCCAACGGAAACTTCGATATAATTAGTGTTCTCCAAAATCGGAACTTTCACTTTTATTATGTTTTCATCATAATTGTATACCAATAACTTTTGAATTTTATGTGCTCAATTTACCATTCAAATTAAAATTGGTACTTTACTTTCATGGTGAAAACTAAAAATTGTATCCAGTGATCAAAATTGTATTACATGACAGCCAAATATATTTTTCTTTTATTTGTATATTGTATTACAAAAATATTAATGATTGTATCCCAATATAATCTAATCATTACATATGAATATGATTTATAAAAGGATAAAGATTTTGAAGAAAAAAAATAGCATACATAGTGGAAATAATACAATTTGTTGAGGAAGGATACAATATTCTAAAAAAAAATACAAATTGATTGTGAAAGAAATAGGGATACAAGACTCTAAAAAAAATAGCATATATAGTGGAAATAATCCAATTCGTTGAAGGATCATAAAAATAATACAAATTGACTTGAAAGAAATATGATACATCTATGGTTAAGAAATACAAATCTATTTGACATACCTATTGAAATGACTACAAACTAAAAAAAAAAATACAATGTTCTTAATAAAAATAAAATTGCTCAGTAAAAGAAAAATAATTGAAAAACAAAAATTAATATGAATACAATTCTGGTATGAATACAATTTTTCTCTTTTTTTTCTTCATCAGCTATGTCCCTTTTTCCCATTTTTTGTTCACCAAACCCAATTCGAATCCGTATTCACTTGTGCATTAGTAAAACTCTGTTTCGTAATCCAAAAAAAATTATAATTACCTAGGAAAAAAAAATTATAATTACCTAGGAAAATTAAATAATTAAATTACAATCGAAAAACACACTAATAATAAAAAGGAATACAATATGAAAAATGATAGAGAAAAATGATTTATTAGATTTGAACAATATGTATAAAATGTTGAAAATCTTTTGAATGAATTCTGAAATTTCTTAGAGCAATTGATGAATTTCGATTTAAACAAGACAAGGTTTAAGTTACTTGATGAGAGGGAATAAGGGGAAAAAATCGTGTGAGAGAGAAAGAATAGAATGTGAATAAAAAAATTAGACTCAAACTCATACGACACTGACCCAACCACAAGAGCATCCATCAAATCAAACTCATATATCTTGAAATCCTCCACTTGTAAACCTAACCCCTTCAAGTCAGAAATAACTTGAAGATATGGAGGATTGATATCTTTGTCAGCGACAGAAGCTGCTAATGGAGAAATCGAACAATAATCGCAAGAATAAAGATGGCCAAGAAATAACAACAATTGGATGATCTCAAATCCATTGATAAAAACTTGAAAATTCTAAGAGCAACTGGAAGATGAGATTTGATTCTTTAGAAAAAAGTGAAGATAATTGAAATTTCTCAAATCTCAAGTAACGCTTAAGAGATGGAGTCTTCTTCTTCACGTTTCTTTTTTTTTAACTGGTAATGAGGTCAAAAAGTGGGTCCAATTTGAGAAAAAAAGGAAGGTAAATAAATTATATTCGGATACATTATATTTGTTAAAATATTGACAAATTTACATTTTTAATAATTATTTTAAAGTGTAGATATTTTTAATAATTATATTCGGAATTTTGACTAGTTTGCTAATTTTCCCTAAAATGAAGTCCAGTTGAAATTATAAGACCCATTCACATTTGAGTTCGGAACTGAAAGGGTAAAAAATTCCAAAAGGGCAATAAAATCGATTTTAGAACCAAAAGGGAAACTTTGTAATTGTTAATTTAACGTTGTTTGAATTAGGGCGAGAGCCGCAAGGCGTGAATTTTTCTGCGCCTTGCAAGGCGCATGGTGGCATGCGCGTGGCTCTGACGGCATGCGCCCTGTATGGTGCAGGAAATCAGCGCCTTCCTGTAAATTAAAAAAAATAAAAATTCATTATGATTAAAAAATAATAATTTATCGAACTTTTTGTTGAGGGTTATAAGAGACAAATTGTAGCCAGAGGAACTAAATACATATGTTAGTGGTTCTTGTTAAATAATCGCTGCAACTATGAAGAAGAAATATACTCTCTCTCTGTCTCAATTTATATGACACTTTTCATTTTTCGAGAGTTAAACAGTTTAAGTTTCACCGGGAATTTGCACATGGAATTTTTAATTTTTTTGAAATAAAATTTATATATTTGTAAACTACATAAAAGTACTATAAGTCACAATTATTGATAGTTCAAAATATTTAAAAGATCTATGAAAAATTTACGGTCAAATATTGACTTGTTTGAATCTCGAAATCTGAAAAGTGCCACATAAAATGGGACGGAGGGAGTAATAGATTGCTACCTATACAACCCTATACATTACTCAGTTAACAAAATTAAAGTACAAATTATTTAAAAGCACAGTGATTACATAATACTATAAAAGTTAAAGAGTATGAATAGGTAGATGGTAACTTGCACTTTGGGCAACCCAACCAACAAGCATGGCATGGCATGGCATGCCAATCCTCGAATCTATTCAGATGAAGTGTGCTCAGGTAACCAAGCACAAGTGGATTTTGCTTGATCATCCCAGAATAATATAACTTTCAGCCAAATATATTATCGCTAGCTGCTATAGCATATGAATTCAGGAAGTATAACAAATGACCTAATGTCTTTATAATCTACAAGTTTGAACTTTGAAGATCAACGATAAGAGTTCAGATATTCAATTTGCTAACAACTTCCAAGCTCCTACGACTCCTTGTCCCTTGCCAGAATAACTTACTTGGTTTCAGTTAGCTGGATCGATATTCAAACATAAGTCATCTAAAAGCTATTTTAGAATCTTTGGACTCATTCTCAAAAGGGAGACCCATTGTCTCTTATAACCCTCAACAAAAAGTTCAATAATTTTTTTTATTTTTTAAAAATTTAATCAGAATGATTTTTTTTTTTTAATTTGCAGGAAGGCCCTGAATTTCCTGCGCCTTACAAGGCACATACTGTCAGAGCCTTACAAGGCGCATGCCGCCCGGATCCGGAGATCCCTATTCTCGAACTCGAGTAATCGGTTATATTCCGGTGGAGAGGGACAATTGTGGAGTGTGGTCTTTACTTCTGCCCAATTCTCCCCCCTCTCTTTAGAAAGCAGAAAAGAGCTATTTTCATTTTCCAGCATATTAATCCTATTTCGGAGCGACCTTGTGGCTCTCGCCCTAATTCAAACGACGTTAAATTAACAGTTACAAAGTTGCCCTTTTGATTCTAAAATCGATTTTGTTGCCCTTTTGAAAATTTTGACAAATTATTTTACCTTTTTGGCTCCGAACTCTTTATTTTTCTACGTTATGTGGAAGGTGTAAATGGATTCAAAAGTAACTAGCTAATAGGGTCCACTCAATGATTATTTAAAGTGTCATTTACGTTTCATCAGAGGCAAATTCAGAATTTGAAAATGACGGGTGTACTACTAAATATTAAATCAAGCTAGTTAAATCATATTACGTAATACCTCTTTGTGCAATGACTTTATCAAAACGTAAAACTAAAAAATTAATGTACTAACGTATGAATATCAATTAATATGTGTGCACCATGAGGTCGTGTGTTCGAAACCAGTCTGTCTCGTGCTTTTGTCCAAAAATTTTAAGCTTATGTTAGGATCGATCCATAGAAGGAGGTCAACATGCAATATATATTATTCAACATAACATCACTATTTATTTCACACACTAGCTTGAACTAGCCAATATTGTCAATTATTCATCACAAAAGCGAGTCATGCGCGGGTATATATATATATATATATAATTTTATTGCTTGAGAAGGTGACCGTCTATCTCTTTGATAACATCAAAGAAAAAACCCAAAAGAGTGATAGGCTCTGGGATATCTTCACTTTTTTCTCGTACTCAAATGCTAATGTAGTCCAATGTTGTTCACTCGATGTGATAACAATGAAGGAATTATATAACTCTAACACATTTCCTTCAATCACTTTCCAAATAATCAATTTCGTATGAGGGTCGATGGCTTCTATCACTTGCTTAGCAAACTTTTCTTCTCCATCTATAATCATTAAATTAAAAAAAAAAAAAACACAAATGATGTTACTGATTAAAATGTGAAAATCCTCATTAAAAGATCTAAACATGCACAAAATAATATCTTCAACTAATTTATTTATTTTTTCTTGTTTTTCATTTCCATTTTTCATATTTTGGAGAATATAGGGTTAGCAGGACATGTTATAAATCTGGTAATATTGTGTTTGGTATGAAAGAAGTACTCTTTCATGAAAAAAAGGCATTTTTGCAAAATATTTTTAGTGTTTGATTAGCGGGAAAATCATATATTAATATACACTAATATATTAAAAAATCACAGAATATTTCAATTTATGGAACTTTTGAATGTTAAATATTACTCTAATAAAGTAAAATAAAGTAAAAATTAAAATAGCTTGAATTAAAGAAATGACTTCTGCGCCAACAAGTGAAAGAATTTATTTGTTTCTTCTGCTTTTTGGATGCAAAATGTTATATTTGGAATATATTTATGGTAACCAGTCGCCTAAAACAACTTTTACAAAAAAAAAAAAAAAAAGAATCATGAAAAATGACTTCCGTTATACAAAAATGCACCTAAATATAGAAAATTGATGAAAGGAAATACTATTAGGAAAAAGGAATCGGAGAAATATGTGTTACCCTCGTTATATCTCCAGCTAACAATTGAACCAACTTTTATAATTTCACCTTCATGAATTTCAAAACGGTTGATCTTACTAGGGCTTATGTTGGCTATATGATGAGTATTGGTGTGGAAAATATTATGAATCAAATGTCCTCCACACTTCACCTCTGTTGAAACAATCAACTTGCCTTTCAGACCCATAGTTTCTTCTCCTTGGAATCACAATAAGTTGTTGAAAGAAAAAGTGGTAAGGAAATGTCTAGAACTTGTAGCTTTAAATAGATTTTTATTTGCTATGAAATTCTAGCTAGTTGTCCAATCTCCTTAATTAAATTTTTTGGGGAGGTCAGATTTCATATACCTCTCGTTATGTATTTTGTTATTGGTCTATATTTTTCTATAGTAGATTTTATTTAATTCATTGCTACATTATTCTTTTTCATTATTTTATTATTGTAGCACTCGTAGACATGTAAGATTTACTTTATTTTGGTTTCAATCCATGCACTTTATCTTGTGGTAACCTAATCAACGATTCTTTAGACGAAATTATAGAACTATAACAATTATGGTATTATATGTACTATATCTTAAGCTAACCTAATTAACAAATTGAGGAATTTTAGTAGTCCAATTTTGAACTAACATTTTGTTGGTAAGGGTTTGATTTTTCATTTTGTAATCTCCTCCCCTATTTTCCTTCCCCACAATTTAAAACAAAACAGAAAAAGGTGATTAAAAAGCTCTTTAGACAATGTTAAAAGAATTGCAATCACTTTTCCAAGAAATACAAAAATATCATAAACGCAGAATGAAAAAGCAATTTATGCAATATGTTATTAAGGTTTATTTTCCTAAATTATTCTTATTAATTATATTTTGGTATGTATATTTAACTACTATTATTTATATATTTATTCAATAATAAAAATAATATTAAATTATTATTATTTTCCTAATTTATTAAAATGAACAAGTAAAGAGAAAATAATTATTTTTAGTATAAAAACAAGACAAATATAAACGTTACATGCATAACTTTCATTTATTTCTTCAAAAACAATACTCTAGTCTCATATTAGTTGATTACTTTTCTTTTTACTCGTAATTTAAGAAATCATAAAATAGAAGATAATTTTACTAATTCACCCCTTAATATTTTTTTTAATAGAAATTTTACCAACAAATGTGAACACTTTAAAAAAGAATTAATTACAAAAATGATATAGGAAAATTTTAGTTAATGTTTTCTTGATTTAGTAAGGTCAACCACTAATATAAAACTGAGGGAGGTAAACGGCCAAACTTTGCAAAGTCTGAGATTAATGAATTTGATAAATCGTGCAATAAATGCTAACTTTGAATCACTTTAAAGAAATCCTATCATGGTGGGGATTAGGCTAACTTGGTCACTAATCTAGTTACCTAGCTCAACTAAATTAGTGACTTTTTTGCCAACCACTATGATGGTGGGGATTTGGCTAAGGCTTAGACTTATATAATAATAATGATAATAATAAGCAAATTACAAGTATATTTTCTTGTTTACCTTTTCTTATTGTGTATACTTATATATTTTTTTCTCTTATCTTTTCTTGATATCTCTTAAGAGTTTTAAAATTTGATTATACTATAATAGCTAAAAGTATATTTACAAAAAATATATCATGTAAAAGAATTGAAATAAATATATTGGAGTTTCAAAAGGTTTTTACTTTCTTGAATCATATTTTTATTATTTTATTTATTTCATAGGTATATAATTATTATTATTATAGAATTTAAATATGACAATTCGAATTAAAGGGTGAGTTTGATTAGTAAAAGACTTATTCTTTTCTAAATGATTATATTGTTTATAAAATAATGTTATAGTAGCATCAACCTACGGATTCTTTTTGAAAAATTAAAGTTGGATAAAATCTTAATTTAGATTATCAATATTTTAAGAGTGATTAAACATTTAACTATACTATCAATGTATCAAAAAAAGTTATTTCAAAAAATTTATTACAATTTTAAAAGAAAATTTAAGGCCCTTTTTGCAGTTTGGTTTTAGTCCAAGAAAGTTATTTAATTGTCCCTATCTGGGTGAACCCTTCTCTACCTTTTAGATCCGCTCCCGCTGAATCATTTAATAACTTAAAATTTAACAAGTTTTCCCTTGTAATCTTGAAAGTTTTTAATATAATTTTTTTGATTTTTTTTTTCAAATATTATATTAAAAACTCATTTTAAGTTAACTCCTTTCTTCATGTGGTCTACTCAACTCTATAATTTTCTAGAAATATACTACTATGAAAACTAAATAGTTAGACTAAAATTTAATAAAAGTTTAAATTAATAGAAAACATATTGTTGTAAATTTTCTTGTTCTTTTTGCAAATGAAAACAATATTTATATCTAAAAACGTGGTTCCATTTTATTTATTTCTTTTGTAATTTTCATTTTTTCTCAAGTCAAATCAACTAAAAATGAAAAGAGTGAAAAAGTTTCATTTGTACAATATGTAATCAAATCATTAACTAAAAATTGAAGAGATATTATACCACGCATGATTTCTTGAAATTAAATGTCATAGTTGTAGTACTAAAACTTCAAAAATAAGGGGCCAACCTCAATACATTAGATGACGGCGAATGGCAGCTGTGACGCATGGAATTCCGTGCCTTGTGGCGACTGCCCTGATTTAAACAACATCAAATTCTCCGTTAGAAAGTTGCCCTTTTGGTTGTATAATTAATTTTGTTGCCCTTTTAAAATTTTTGGCAAATTTTCTTACCCTTTTAGCTCCGGACTCTTCACATTTCCCCTTTTTTTTCTTTAATTTTTCATCAATCAGAGAAGTTTGCATTTGAAGAGTACTTTGTGGATCTCTTTAGTGCAAGGAGAAGAAGTGAGAGATGTCGTGCTGTGCGTCATTGACATGCGGACTCTGCACATCGGTAGCCTCAGGTGTCACCAAGAGCTCATCTAGACTTGCTTATTGTGGCCTATTTGGTGTTTCCTTGATTGTCTCTTGGGTTCTCGGAGAAATTTGTTAAGATATATGCGTCCACTAAGATTCAATGGACCAGGTCCCTTGACACAGTAAGAACAATAATGCAAGCACAAGCAGTAAATAAAGTAACACAAGCACATTACGTGGAAACCCCCCTGCTCAAGGGCGGCGAAAACTACGACCTGTCCTCACAGGCTTTTCAAACCAAACTCCATTTCTTTCAAATAGAGCAACGATTCAGATTACAATTGCTTGCAACCTAGGAATTTACCTCTAAATCCCTTCCCCCTAAATGTAGCAACCCCACTACAAATAGAGCAACTAAGCAATATCACTATTACCCACTAACCTACCCAACTCTAAGTAACTTAGACTTCACTAAGCAACACACGGTTGCCCACTAACCTACCTAACACTAGATGACTTAGGATTTGACTAAGCAGCAACAACGCTACCCACTAAATTAGTTAACCTCAACTGATTTAAACTTTGGACTGAACAAACAAATGATCTAATTCCTTTATAGCTCAGGATTAGATTTACAACATAAGCACGGAAGTAAAAAACCTAAGACAACTAAGACGCAAGCAACTCTATATGGTCCCTATTGCTCTTTATGTGAATACTTCTTGAGAGAAGTAGTTTTTGCTTTTTGTTCTTGAGAATTTTCAGGATGCAAAAATTAAGGTTGTGTCTATTGAAGGATATCCTTATTGAGAATAGACACAACCTTCAAGGCCATGCCATTGGCCGAGGTTTCTGCCGACACCGTGCACCAACCTCACCAAACTTGTGTACTTTTTCCAGCTGTCAATTGTACGAATAGTGGTGCAAAGGATCAGGTCCCCTTACAAGGTCCCTCTGTTTGTCAAATCATCAAAACTGTAAATAACATTTTCCCTCTTTTGATGATGACAAACTCATACTGCCCCATGTCTTCCCCCTCTCCCTGTTACCGCCATGTCTTCCCCCTCTCCCTGTTGCCGCCATGTCTTTCCCCTTCTTCATGCCCATACTTCCCCCTATCTAGGCAACCAATATTATTTTCCCCCTTTTGGCATCATAAAAAAGAGAGACAGTAAACCAAGATTAAAAGTAAGCCTGCAGAGAAACACCATAGCCTTTGGCAACACATCATAGAAAAATAATTAGACAGGAAAAATCACAACAAGACAGAAGACCTTTTCATTGCACAGGGTAAGCATTTAATACATTGACAATAAATTGCTAAAGAGAACTCGAGACACTGCCCACGAAAAAAAATCAAACAAGGACATAAAAGGGAGGGAATTAGAGGATGGGGGCTAATGGGTGAGGGATTTGATGACAAAGGTGAGCCGGTCATTGATAGAGTCATGAGCTTTGATCAACCTCTCTTGAAGATCAGCAGTTTGAGACAGAAGGACTACATTTTTCACTCTTAACTCTTTGACCTCTTCAGTACCAGGTCCTTAAGTCTGTGCTTTGGCTAGTTGTGCCTTCAATAGTGACATCACAACATCCTTCTTTCCCACAAGTGCAGTCATTTCCTTCGGTTCATGCTTGAGTTGATCCCATTCAACCACTAACTGAGACATCTAACTCAGTTGTCCTATTTGGCCCTCTATGCACTCACACTCAACCTAGGTACTTAGAGAGATGGACTTTTTAACAGTGCCAATAATACCTGCTCCCACCGTAACTTTCAGATGGTTGAACACTTTAGTGAGGAAATATCTATACCCCATGCCATGTTTGCCTTTACACTCCACAACCTTCTTATGCATATGCTCTAACATAAGTGCTTGGAGATTCAGTGGTTCGAACTTGCATAGTGATTCCATCATGAATAAATCAGACGAAGAGGCAATTGTACGCTTCTCAGATCGTCGGAGAACTACCTTGTTAACAAACTCGAACAACAATTGGTATTCCCCTTTCATAAGCTTCTTCTGAATGCCTCCACGGTGCATGTACGGAAGTTTGGAACACTCATTTGCAAAGTGCTGACTGTAGAGTTTTCCAACTACTGATCTGATCCCTTCTCTATGTACTTCCAGGATTCCCCCCAATAGTTCCTCGTTTAGATAAACCCTTTTATCTCCCACCATCGTATTGAGGTTTCCATTCTCAGTGAACTCCACATTGTAGTAGAACTCCCTCACTTGTTCTTCGTGCATTATGGGAGATTTGGTCATGAACAGGTGAGTCCATGATTGA